GAAAACATTAAATATATAAATACATAAAATATATTTTAATAATTTAAAAATTAATTTTATTTTAATTTAAAATAATGCTTCGGACCCCAACGGTTTCCGTTTCCTAGTTTATTTTACTGATTGTCATTTTTAATAATAGTAATTATTTTCTATTACCTGATTACTGGTGACAACAAATGTTGAATTATTAGATGATTCAACAACAAAGTATCGTGAAGCACAAGATCAGAAAAACATACGAAATTTTATCAAGAAAGGATAAATAAATGAACAACAGCATTACGCAAGGGTCAACTCAGAGAAACAGAAAGAGGATTTTGTAAGTACCTCAGGCAAAAATGTTCAGACCATGAACTCATCAGAAATATTGGATCAGGTTTCTACTGGAAACACAGATGCTTCTCATCCATTTTGGAACGATCGTACTGAGGAGATATCGAGAAAGTTGTGATTGGCAAAAACAATACAAAAATTATGGTACTCAATTCAGACGTCAATGTTAATGACACCGAATCCGGTGAGCTTGCCAAGAACCTATTACCGAAGAGTATACATCAAAGACGTGTGGGAATTGTGGATTCGTAAAAATGATCTCTCTGAATTAAAAATATTAAATGTGATACATGCAAGGTGGAAATGGATCAGGACGTAAATGATGTCAGAGATATCTTGCTCAAATATTTAACGGAGGGTCAGGTTTGGCCTGAACTTGGAACTTGCATAGTAAAGACTAACTTTATTTATTTATTCAATTTCAACGTATTGTTTCTCGCTGATCTTTGATAACATTGATACAATGCAATATTAATAATTAAATCTCTATTTGCTATTTATTTTAGCAGAGATTTTTTACCCGAAATTAGGGATGTTAAGTGTCCGGTCTGATCCTGTCTGGTCTGATCCAATAAAGATCCGAGTTTGAAACCAGTTTGAAAATATCGTGTAACCTTCACATGATTACAATACAATAATTAAAATACCGTATAGCGTGGTCCTTTATTTTTGAATTTATAGCAAGATTTTTATAATCAACTAATTCTTTAATATTGAAACGTAATTTAATTTGACCAGGTTATACTTGTCTTTTGAACTAATCTTAGAATCTTTTACTTCTAGTAACTTTAGATACTTCAAGTAGAATACTATTACTTTTGGTCTTTAAGTTTAATTATACTTTTTAAAGTTATACGTCTAAATTAATTCAAGTTAAAAAAATTAAATTTTATATCTAATCTCTATAAGAAAAATTATTGGTAATTTTTAATCTATTTTATAAGAAAAATCTATAAAACAAAATTAATTTCTATTTATATTATTATTTTTTCGAACTTAATATTTTGATTATACCAGCTTCATACCAACTTTTAAGACAAAGAGTTGCTCGTGCTTTTTCTGGATCCAAGCAATTACGTAAAGGATTTATAGTATGTTTAGCTATAGAAAATACTTGTTCACTAGGTACACTAGTTGCTTGTATACAAAGGTAATCTTGAGCTATTTTTGCAATTGTTTGATATTTTTGATTATTCGCATAAGCTTTCTACCATAATAACATATCACAATCAACTTCAGAAGACATGAAATAATCTTGTAAATTATTATCAGCTAAGTTAAAAGTATTATATGGACGTTTACGCATTTTTTTTAAATAATTACGTCCTGATAATAAAATATTTTCTTGTAATAATAAGTTATTATTAGAAGTAGAATATTGAAAATAAAGATCTTGAATTTTTTGTTGAACTATAAGTTGCTTAATTGGATCGTATAGTGTAAGCTTAATATTAGGATCAAGCGAAGCAATAACAAATGATTTTTGATCAAGTTGTTTCCAATATTCATCAAGTTTAATTACCATTGCAGTTGCAACAATCTTTTGCGTAGTTTCTTCTATGGTAGTATTAATTATATCTTCCAAAAAATTAATAATCGTAGTAAATGCTAAATAAAGATCACCTAAAGTTGGATAACTTGACGATGAAAGCATTAAAGTGGCTTGATAAATTGATTCGAGAAGAGTATGAATCATCTAAATTGGTTTAAGAAAAGTATAAGTTAAAAATAAATAAATAAATAAATAAATAAATAAAAATAACTGACGTCAATTTCAATCCATTCTAATTCAGTTGGATAATTAAGTTTCAAAGATGAATTCGATGTAACAAGAATATCTGTAATTTCACGAATTTTTTTTAACTTTTCAATCATTAAAAATATACTATTCCATCTAGTTGAAACATCAAGATCGAGTACAAGAAATGATTGATTCTTCATTTTGAATATTTGTCTTAATTCTTTAAAAATCGGTTGTGAGTTACGAATAGTTGAGACAAATGATTGTGCTTTGATAATCGCATCATCAACAAACTTTAATCCTTCCATAACGATTAAGTTTAAAATATGTGAGGCACAACGATGATGTTGAAAATCATTATTGTCGAAGGTTTCTTTAAGAAGATATTGAAGATGACTAGCAAAATTAATCATATTAGCTCCATTATCGGTTGTTACTGCAATAATATTTTTGCCGATTCCATAAAAACTAATTATTTCCAATATAGTATTTGCAATATTTAATCCTGTATGACTGTTATAAATCGGAATAATATCAAGAAGCAGTTTGCACATAATTCAGTTATCGTCAATCCAGTAAAGTGTAATAGATAAATAACTAAAATTGTTGCAAGCTGTCCATATATCAGTTGTAATCGCCATTTTTCGCATCATTATACTTAAAATATCTTTCACTAATAAACGTTGTTTTTGATAAATTGTATCGATTTGATTGGATATTGTTTGGCGAGTTGGTGGCTTATATCGTCTATCCAGTTCTTCTAAAAGTTCATGAAAATGAGGGTCTTCAATTACCATAAAAGATTGTTGATTACAAATAATCCATTTAATAAGTAAAGAAGTAATACGAGCTATTTTTGATTCATCTTCTGGTCCATAAAGTTGAATAACCTTAGATATATAAGTTATTTGTTGTAATCGATCATATGTATCATGATGATATTTGTTGAAATGTCTTTTGATAATACTAATTCCTGTTGATTTTTTCCAACGTAATTGACATAAAGAACAAGAAACAAAAAATCCGCAAATACTTAATACCAAATATTTACGTATTGGATCAGAAATTTTACATTTTTTAGTTGATAATTCATTAGATGAAAATGATTCGATAGATGAAGATAATTTGGTAGATGAAGGTAATTCGGTAAATAAAGGTAATTTGGTAAATGAAAAGAAATCATTTTTTGTTTCTATATGATCAAATATGAAATTAGATGTTTCGATATTATCAAAAGAGTTAGGTATTTCGATATAATCAAATAAAGGAATAGATGAAGAAATAACCGTTTCACTGTTACAATCCATAACTAAATCAATAAAAAAAAATCATGATATATTAATATATATTTTTTTAACAATGTACACAATTACATACAATTGTGTAATTGTTTCTATTTTTAATTTGAGGTTCCGAACTAGTTCCGAACAAAAACCAAATTGAACCTATTAAACTAATTTCAGACTAGTTTTTTTAAACCAATTAACATCCCTAATTAGCAGCACATAACAGATTGGACGTTATCCATGTAAGGGCATCTCGAACATGTTATCAGGTTTTTCGCGACATGGCGCAGTAATGTGATTACGAAAAAATATAATATTGAATCGACCCACATAATCAGATGATTTTTATACTGTATTTAGCACGAGTCAGTTTTATGCCTTCGTTATTTCGATTCCATTTTCATTTGGATTAAGTAGTTTCTTGTCCTGGGCAATGTTGAGGACAATTCAAACATTTCTTTTTTCTTGGTGGTCCCTCCTATATAGAAAATAAAGCACGGTTAATATTTTACTTGATTTATAACTATACAGTAGAGCATACCTCTTCATCGGAGGAACCTATATGTGATCGTGGAGGAGGTGACAGTGATGGTAGTAGCTGTGGAGAAGGTGGCAGTGATGGTAGTAGCTGTGGAGAAGGTGACATTAATAGTGGTGATCGTGAAGGTGAGTTTGATAGTGTTTGTGACACCTATAAATATAAGTAAATAGTTATATATTGCAATCCTTTACTAATATTTGATATTTAATTTAATTTATACTTACGGATTTCTTTTTACGCTTCCTCGAAGGCGCTCCATAATTATAACGTGTACGTTCTATATTCCGAAGATCATTCTCTCTTGTCCGGGATGGTACCCTTCATTTTTCTTGTAACTTTTCGAACTTTGGGTTTCTCAGAACCACCTAAGGTACCTAAAGAGCTACCCTCAGAAGAACCACCCGCATCAGTAGCAGAAGAATTTAATTCATTGTCGTTGTAGCTATGCCCATAGTCAAGTTCATGTTGGTTGACATCTTCGTGATCATTATTATTGTTATGATCGTAATCATCATGTATAGATGATGGAGATGTTGGTTCATTATTGTTATTATCGCCACTGTCATTATTATCGTTTTCATCATCGCCATCATTATTATAACCATTATCTTTCTGTTTGGTTAAAATTCTAGCAAGTTCATCTTCTCTTATTTTTATTTCGTGAAGAATAAGGTCTCTTTCTACTTTATACTCAGAAATTTCTCGTCTCTAATTCCAGAAGAATAAAAATAATGTTAAAGCTAATATATATAAATGCAAAAATAAGTGATTTACTTACTATTTTAAGTTCATTGACTATTTCAATCCAATAATTTTTAAGTTTTTTTGCAAGGCGTATCCGTTCTGATTCGACCTATAGTGAAGAAAGTATTTGGTTAACAGTGTGTCATTTTTTATTTAGTGGCAGGGAGAGTACACTATAATGTAGAGAATCAGCGGACCTTTACCAACGACAAAGTCAGGATGCCTGAGTAGAGGACTTGGGGCTGGTTACCCAAGTTGTCATACTCAGTAATTCTCATGAGTCGGCGTACCTTTAAGAACTAAGAGTTACCCTAACCTTGCAAATAAAAAAAACCACCTTTTTTTTCAATTTATTAAAATCATTTTCGTTTAATAGCTTTTTTGATTCTTCTAAAAAACGACCAGGATGTTTCAAGGTTATGCCAGAGGGAGGTAACCGGAGTGGCGGCAACAATCGCGTCTCGATGACGACGCAAAAAGTCCCAAAAAGATTTATCTCTGCTTTGATTCAAATATGATGTAATGATGTATTCAGAAGACATATTGAAGGCTTTGTTAAGGTGTAAGAAAAAATAAAAAAACGAGAACCCCAGTTTCTCCCTAAATAACGCGACGCGTATACTGCCTCAGGTGCTACCATGTGTTAATTTATCGAATTTGGTTATCTTGCACTTTACGGGTGAGTCACACATGCATGGGACATTAATCTGGTATGTACGATAATACTTTTACACGCGAATAAAAAGGCCAAACGGTATTTTTATTTCGAGAAACAGAGCTTCAATACTAAGCTATTTTTTCGTAGCAGGGTTGTTTCAAGGGAGGAAAGGCGTAAAAACACGCATGCTTGTTAAGCCTGCCGAGCCCTAACTTATATAATAATAGTTCCTTCCCTGCTACTCAAGATGTAAATGATTATCTATCCAAGCACCTATCTTTTCTAAGTTTTCGCTTTTTATATTTTCCCCCATTATTGTATCTTTTCCAATTGCTCCCATCCTAAGCTTAATCAAGTATAATCACAGAAATGATATTCGCAAATCTTTGACTTGAATCCGAGGAATTTGATGAAGTCTCGCTATGCTGGTTAGATTCCCTCCTATTAACAATCTGGATAAGGAGTGTCGTTGATTGATTTCGCCCTGGAGCGTTGTGAACATCCTGCCGACTGATTCGAAATCAGTTACAATTTGACTAAAATTATTATGGTAGGTTTCTAGAACTCGCTCGATTTCGTTATATTTCCCATTTATCATGTTAATGATATTTTGCCTCCGTTGCATAGTTAGCATCACGGGAACTCATTTTTGTGGTAAGATCGTTATTAATTTCGGTTCTGATCTTGCCGATTTGTTCAATGTTGATCTTGGTTTCACGAGAGTTTGTTTCATCGATATTTTTTTGCTTTACGTCCCACAGGAAGAACAATATGGCGATGAATCCTATACACAAATGGATATTTGAGGTCATCTTCGCAACGACGAAAAATAAAGTAACTGTTAAAGCCATAAAAGGCGTATTCTCCAAAACGATGAATGGGCCCATTTTGTAAAGAATTCCCGATTAGAAAATTAATCGCGGGGACGTGGATATTCAGATTTATGATAAATGAAACCAAGTTCGATGAGTTTGTTAAATGCCACGTTGGCTTTGCATAAGAGAAGATAACATCTTTTATAGGGCTATGTTTCGATCATCATTTATTTCGGAGAAGATGCAAGAACGATTTTTTTAACTTGGCAGTAAACATAATCAGGTATTAGCATTTCTTTATTACTAATAGCATGTATTCTTGCGTAATCGAAGATAGTCATGCAAATTATTCAACAGACTAAGAATAAACGTTAATTAGCGAGAGATTATGTAATGCTGATAAATCGTGGATCACTTTACTGATAATCGCATTGATCCACGAAATTTAAAATAAAGTTGGTATTTTTTTGAAGGCTAACTGCGCTACATGCGTGGATTTTATTAATCAATATAGATTACATTTCCTATACATGAACAGTCTATTAATTATCGCTAATTAACTGGCGCAGTTCGATAAACCGGATATACACTACTAGCCCCTATTAAAAAATTTATGTGATTGATTTTTTTGTTGTTTGAGTATTACACGGAAATACAAGTAATTCGAATCAATTTTAAATTCAATTAATTTAAATTTAACTTACACAATTCGCATCAAGGAGAAACACTCTCACTCTTTAATATGGATGAAAAAATACTTGAGTCATTATCAAATAAAAAAATAATAATCATAACATTTATAATAATAATAGTTTTATTACAAAAGTGATGCATTTTTTATTATTTTTTTAAACTTTAATACTGTGTATTAATTTAATATTACAAATTATATTGAAAAAAAAGAAAAATAAAATAAATTTATTAATATTTATTAACATTTACCATCTAGTATATCTGCCTTGTTCTTTGATAACATCATTAATGTATTCTGGCATACTATTAATTAACTTATTACAATAATCAATACTAACGCTATTCTATATTATTAAGTTTTTTCACAAATCTTTTTTGTTAAAAACTGAATTGGATAACTTTTGTAAATGTCTATCAACTTTGTTCCATAAATTTTCTATGAGATTTAAATTAGGAAATTGAGATAGTCAATCTAATAAAGTAATGGAATTTTCATAAAACCAATCTTTATTTAATTTTGCAATATGTTATTATTATCTTGCTAAAAAATAACTTTATCTTTGCTAAAATTAAATTATAAAAATGTATTTAATAATTTAAAGCTTAAAATTTTCCTATAATGATTATCATCCATAATTTTTTTGATATTAATTAAGTAATCAATACTTTTAGTTGTAAAACATCTTCAAATTATAATTTTTCCATCATCAAATTTAACTATTGATTTAATATGTTAATCTAATAATAATTTGTTAGGTTTTTTCCAGCAATATTCTTATCTATTAGATAAAAATAGAAGAATCTACTTTTGTCTAATCAAATAATCTTTTACCAATTATTTATAGTCTAATTTTTATATTTTTTAGTCCATGCTAATCATTTTTTTCAATAAGATTTTCATAATAATAGTTTTTTTCTTTTAACTTATGCAACTAAATCATTTTTTTATAATATATATTTTTTATTAAAACTATTTTAAGTTTTATTAAAAATTTTTTTAAAAAAAATTAATTTAAATTATTATGTCATTCTTTTTAAAATCTTTTGTATTAAAAGCAAAATCAATATAA